TCCAGGGAGCCTTTTCAAAGGTAACATAGAGCCACTGCACTCTCTCTTAAGGTGCAAGGTATGGAAGGGAAAATGACAGATGCCTTATGGAAATGGTCTACAAAACTTTTCTTCTAATTAATTATTTCTCTCTTCCTCTCTTTCCTTCTCCTTCTGCTAGTTTACAGGAGAATACTTCTAAATCTTATTTTTTTCTATTTTAGAATAAATTGTCTTTATATAATATTCAAACATGGATACCCATTAACCTTTGGCACTGAGTTTTCTTCTGACATAAAATGAATTAATTTTGAGAGGCACTGAGTTACCATCTAGCTATGCTATACAAATGCTCTTTTTGACGGCCAATTTCTTTCTTTGTTTTTTTAATCCTCACCCAAGGATATGTTTTTATTGGTTTTAGAGAGAGGAATGGGGAAAGAGAGAGAGAGAGAGAGAGAGAGAGAGAGAAATATCTGCGTGAAAGAGAAACATCGATTAGTTGCCTCTCGTATGCGCCCTGACCAGGGATTGATCCCACAACGTGGGTATGTGCCCTGACCAGGAATCAAACCTGTGACCCTCTGGGGCACAGAAAGATGCTCCAACCAACTGAGCCACATTGGCCAGGGCTGAGGGCCAATTTCAATACACCTTGTTTTACTCTGTGAACCAGGTCTGGAACTGCACAGGGAAAGTAATGTCGAGCTGTCCAAAGAGTCCTGCTCAGGTCTCCTGCTAACCCTTCTCTGCCTTCCTCTAGTTTGCTTCTCCTCAGGTCTGATACTGAGGAGTGCATATTCTTCAAATGAAATGACAATTCAGTTCTCATTGGAAACCAAACCAGTATATTTTGGGAACCTGCTTGTCTAAAGTAGTTGATGCCTTTGAAAAGACTCAGAATATTCAATATCTATCATATTGTAGCTAGCTATATACATAGGTAGATTGACTATTTATAATACTGGTTTGTGAATCATTGAGCTATAGTAGTTTGCTTTATCTATTTGTAGGATTAAACAATACAGTTTAATGGTTGTAAACTTTTATAAAACCTCTTTGGGTTTTTTGTTTGACCCAAACATAATGTAAGTCTCAATGACAAAATATACAAAGCCAACCAGAGGTGAGTGAAAACATATTCCTTCTCATTTTGTCCGCCCTTATAATGCACGTGCAATGCTTTGCAATATGTTCTTACTAGCATGAATGTGCTATGACTACTTCATGAGGTTTTCATTTGTTTCACCTATAATAGTGATGAAAAATGGTGTATCCTTGACAACAACGAACTGTAACCACACTTATTTACTGCATAAACTATTTGTCTATTAACCAGTAATGGCTCTGTTTCTTTAAGAACAACACCAAAAGCCATACCACACCTACATATACACACACACACTAGTTTGCTCCTAAAAAAATTAAATTTCTGTCCTTGGGACTTGCATCTTGAGATAAGCTGTAAGGAGAGGGATCTCCCCAAATGAGTTCACCTAAATTTTATCACAGTAGGCATATACACTCCAATTTTTGTATACTAACACAGCTCTAAATGCTAGACAACTGGAGTTTCCCACAGGCTTGGGTGGGGCCAGGCATCCACTGGTGGGTCAGAACAATGTGGAGAGCTCAGATTTGAGGCTTATTTCTGTAAAGAACCTATATTTTATACCTTGAATAGCTTCAGGGTCACAGAGGCATCATCTGTTGGTCTTTAGCTAGAATATCACAGCTAGAAGCCGCCTGGCACCCTATACTTCACAGAAAAGTCACTTGGGGAGTACTCAGCTGCATCAGCTCCATCAGGTTATAGGTGTGGGAACTGAGACTCCAAAAACTGAAGTGATTTGGACCAAAGCTGAACAGGGATTTAATGTCAAAGCCAGGAATGAAACCCTGGCCTCAGAGCTCCAGGCCAGTGAGCCCTTTATCACAGTGTTGTCTGCTCTTCCCTCAGGCCTCTCTGGAGACTACTACTCACCCCACCCCTGCCACTCCCGGCCAGTCTCATTGTAAAGGCAGAGGTGGCCACAGTGGCTGCAGGGGAACCCAGACTAGGAACCTTTGGGAGGGGCTATTTGTGAATCTGCGAATATTTTCTTCTTTTACCATCCTTCTTGAGATTAAGAGTGCTCATCTCTCCCCACCCTCTTACTCTCCCCTCCCTTTCCCCTTGCTGCCTTCTCACACATTTCTCAGGCATACTTGTGTCAAGTTCTTACTGAGTACCAAATAGAGGCCGGTCTATATTGGGCTAGGGAGAGACTGAAGAGGAGGAAACAGTTCCTATTTTCTGGAACTTGCACTCTAGTGAGGGAATGAAGTACACTTAGAGGAATGAATGAATAAAGACCTTCCTTGTTATAGAATTGTATACCTGAAACTTATATAATGTTATTAACCAATGTTACCCTATGACATTTAATTTTTTATGAATTTTTGAGAGAGAGGGAAAGAAGTATCAATTTGTTCCACATATTTATAGAATCATTGGTTGATTCTTGTATGTACCCTGACTGGGGATCGAACCCAAAACCTTGGCATATCGGGACGAGGCTCTAACCAACTGAGCTAATTGGCCAGGACTAATACATTTATTTAAAAAAAAAAAAAAAAAAACTTTCTTGGAGGGCAGTGGCAGTATGAGGGTAGGGGAAGTGATAAAAATAGAACTTCAAGAAAGGACAATTCAGTGTTCAATGCCTCTCCTTAATCATAGGTGGAAAATCAATTAGTCTGACTGTATCCCTCTGTAGCTTACCTCTCTGGCCTCAGGACCTACATTTTCTTCACATAACCCATGTTCCAATCATCCTGGACCCTTCACAGGTGCCCCAACATGCCATGTTCTTTCTTATCCCCTCCAGACTTTTATCTTCCTTCTAATCCTTGTTCTGACTAGTATTCTATTGTCTGAAGACACACTGCTAATGTCACCTCCTCTATTAAGAGGTCCCACTTCCTTGTCCAGACAGCTATCTTGAACCATACCTCTATTATCACTCTGTTATAATTATGTTGGCAGAGCAGACTTCCCCCACAAAACAGGGAGTTCCTTTTGGGGCAGGAATCATGAAAGGGTGACTCTCAATTACTATTGTTGGATAATAATATAATCTATGCTCCCTTCCCAACTCACAACCCTGTTCCCAGTTAAGTGTGTGCAATTGAAAGACTTTTTCTAATCAATCTCTAATCCCTTCAGAAAGAAAAGGTCCAAGGACATTGGGCTAATGTCCTTCCTGGCTGGTCCTTCCCCACACCTGTCTCTTATACACATCTAGATGTGTATAAGAGACAGGAGTAAACTTGGTGTTTCACGTACTCACAAC